CTGCTTACTACTACTACTACTACTACTACTACTACTACTACTACTAGTACTACTACTAGTACTACGACTAACTACTACTACTACTACTACTACTACTACTACTACTACTACTACTACTACTACTACTACTACTACTACTACTACTACTACTACTACTGCAAGCACGATTTCCACTACTACTACTACAGCTGCTAATGCCACACGACGAAACGAGACGAGGATGAGGACGAGGGCGAGGACGACGACTACTACTACCACTACCAGTACTACTACTACTACTACTACTACTACTACTACTACTACTACTACTACTGCTACTACTTCTACGACGACTACTACTACTACTACTACTACTACTACTATTACTACTACCACTACCACTACCACTACCGACTACGACTACTACTACTAACTACTACTACTACTTACTCAACTGCGGTTATTACTATTGCTTACGTCTGATGATGCTTACTAACTACTACTACTAACGACTGTTACTACCGACTACACACACGACACTAACTACTACTACTACTACTACTGTTACTGCTGTTACTCTGCTACTACTAGTACTAGTACTATACTAGTAGTACCTAAACTAATAGCTACTACGGAACTACTACTCTACTACCACTACTACCACTACTACTACTACTACTACTACTACTACTACTACTACTACTACTGCTGCTGCTACTACTACTACTACTACTACTACTACTACTACTACTACTACTACTACTACTACTACTACTACTACTACTACTACTTACTACTACCGCTTCGGCTGCGACAACTACTAATACTACCACTACCAGTACTACGACTTCGCCTTCTGGTACTGATAATAATGGATCCACCACTATTACTACGGCTGCCACTACTGCTACTCCTAGCGTCGCACCTCCGCTTCGTGTGCTCGCAGAAAGAATTGGTAATGGTAAGGGTAAGAGTAAATAAAGGTTCGGGCTCGGGTTCGGTAGCGCGCATACAATATAATTCGAATGCAATAGGAGAACGATACAAGCACAAAGCGAATACTATACGAATACAATGCGCATACAATAGGAAAACGACAACACGACACTACGAATACAAGACGAACCCAATACGAGTACAGTGCGACTACAGTACGGATGCCATACGAATACAGGACGAACACACTACGCATACAATTCAGATCCAGTGCAAATGCAATACGGCCACACGAGTAATACAATGCAATTCTTCGGCGGCGCGAGTGCGAGGTGTGAACATACCAACGAATGTGGCTTAATGTTCTTTAATGCGCATGTTATACACACACAATACGACAAAATGCTGCGCGAAGGTGGGGTGTGAAACAGGATTGCCCCCGAGAGAATCCTACAGCTTGCCAACTTCCTAGCAGTGCCTCGTTGGTAACCCTTGGAATTCCGACGGATACAACCACTTCCCGAGTGCCCAAGAGGGCCTCCTCAGGAACCCTGGAGATTCTTAAGGTTCCTACCAAATGCCAGATTCCTGAGAAGGAGAACACTACGTATCCTGAAACATCCGACCGGCTCCCTCCCCTCCAAATTCCGGGGGGGGGGGGGGGGGGCCCTTTGTGGAACCCTCGGAAGTCTGAATGATCCGACCGATTTTTAAATTCCAGGGAAGGCCCACTATGGAATCACAAAGTCTCCTCAGGATCCCACCAAGCCCCAAATTCTTGAGAAAGCCTTTTAAGCCAGAAGAAACAACAAAACAACCCATACAACATAACACAACAGGGAATACATACGGAAGAAGTCAATGAGATAACCCAGGCAATAACAGATTGTGATGTTTGTCTGTTGTGGCCCACAGGGCGCTCGAATATTGGGCCCACAATGCCTGCGTTCGCCATAGCGAGTTCGCACATCATAACGACTGCGAATCACAGCGCCAGCGTGAACCACAAAGCCTGTGCGCACCGCAATGCTTAGCGTGCACCACAACGCCAGCGCGCACTGCAAAGCCTCTGTGCGCCAAAGAGGGTCTCCTAGGGAGTCCTAGGAATTCCAATGGACCATGCCAATTCCCAAATTCCTGAGAGGGTATCTTAAGGATCCCTCGGAATCCAACAAACCTGCAACTCCCCTGAGGACTTTAAAATATGTGTCAAAATTCGTCATGGTCCATCGGAATGGTCAAAGATTATGATGGATGGCGCAGAAGGTATCATCATGAGTCTGCCCACGCCATCGTGATCGCGCAGCAACTGAGCGCCCGCGCGTTACACATAAGTGCAAGCCCACGCAGATACTGATTTGAGTCAGATCAGCAACTGAATGCCCAATCTGCGAATGACATATGCGCACCCAAGCAGACATGTGCTCCCACGCCCGCAACGCTGGGGAACATCGACAGGAATACGTATAGAGCGCAACTCAAGGATGCGAGAATAATCTGGCGGGTGAAACAGTTGCGTGGCTTGAAGCATGGCGGGGCCTCCGCGCTATGTTTATGCGCCGCGTTGATCTGCCGCGCCAGATGCAAGAGATATACCCCCACATACACGCGTGGGAAACGTTCCCAATCTTTTCAATGCAATGATGGGGACGCGATGCAAATCTCACAACTCAGATGGTACAACTCACAAAGCCAATGTTTGAATATCCTGTAAACCGTTGATCTCGACCCCGCCCTTCTCCTTGAAGTCAAGATAACCAGATTCGGTGAAGCCGCGGCGGAATGCCCTGCGCGGCGGCGCGCCATGCGCAAATTTAACGGAGAGGCGCCCGTGCTTGTTGTCGGTGCCCATGGCGTTCTGGGGGGAAGGCGTTGTGGCTTTACCCCCCCCGCCCCCCCTCCCCCCCCCCTCCTTCCCCCCCCTCCCCCCCCCCCCCCCCGCCCCCTCATCCCCTCCTTCCCTCCTTCCATCCCCCTCCCCTCCCCCCTCCTCCTCCTCCTCCTCCTCCTCCCCCGCCCCTCCTCTCCTCGTCCTCCTCCTGCTGCTGCCTCCCCCTGCCAGCGCATCCAGGGTGCTGGCGTCTGGGAATCGGGCTTCGATTCTGCCCTGGGGGGCGCCTGCTTTTTGCGCGCGCTGAAGGCGACCGCGTCGCGCCGCCCCCCGCGACGAGCATGGGGGACTTCGCGCGCGCGGCGGCCACCTCCTCCGCCATCGCCTTAACTGCGGTCTGGGGGGTGGGGGGGGGGGGCCTCGATCATGGGCGCGCAACGCTGCTTCTTGGGCAGCCCGACCAAGCCGTCTGAGATCATGCCACTGGCACCGCTGCGGTTGCGAAGGGGCGACTGGGCGTTTGACTTCTAACTCGTATTCATCAATGACTTCCTTCATGGCTTCTTCCTCCCCGCCGGACCTGAGCCTCTTGAGATCGCGATTGTGCTCTGCCGCTTCGTCCGCGGTCAGCTGGTGCATTCTGGGTGCTTGCTTCGCCAATCCCTCTGGGTTTTAGGCGCGCAAGCCCCCCCCCCCCCCCAGCGCCCCTCTCCCAGGGCCCTCGAACCTGGATTTGAAGGGGGGGGGGGGGGCGGGAACTATCATCGCAGTCGCCATCGCCATCATCATCGTCATAATCGTCACCGTCGCCATCCTCATGGTTCTTCATCATCGCCACCATCGTCATCATCGCCATCGTGGTCATCGTCAGCATCACCATCATCGCCATCACCACCATCATCACCGCCATCATCATCATCATCATCACCGTCATCATCCTGTTCCTCCTCCTCATCGTGCTCGTCCTCCTCCGTCTCCTCCTCCTCCTCCTGCTCCTGCTCCTCCTCCTCCCCCTCCTCGCGCGCTATTGGAAATGGATCTGGCGGCGCCAGGCTCGCCCTCCAATTGGCACTCGCAACGACATGCAGCTTCCACTCGTTCCATTTGCAAGACAATGATGCCCTGTATTGATATTTCTTGTCGCTACCCCCCTGTGTCATGATCGGGCCACTTCTCCGGAATCGAACCCTGATTTTGCTGGTCCTCCTCCTCATCATGCTCATCGTCATAATCATCATCGCCGTCATCGTCGTCATCGTCATCGTCATCATCATCGTCAACATCACTAGTACCTACTACCTACTAGTACCTACTAGCACTACTACTACAAACTATCACTACTACCTACTAGTACTACCACCTACTAGTACTACCTACTAGTGCTACCAGTAGTACTACTAGCTACTACTATTACTACTCGTACTAGCTGCTATCACTACTACATACTAGTACTGCCTACTAGTACTACTACCTACTACTCCTATTACTAATACTACCTAGTACTACTTACTAGTACGACCTACTACTGCTACTACTAGCTACTAGTACTACTACTACCACTACTACTAGCACTACCTACAAGCACTACTACCTGCGGGTACTACCTACTAGCTTTTTTTTTTACTAGCACAAAACCCTACTAGTACTACCTACTAGTACGACCTACTAGCACTACCTTCTACAACTACCCACTGGTACTACCTACTAGTACTACCTACAAGAACTACCTACGACTGATATTTACTACTAGTACTACCTACCAGTACTACCTACTAGAAGTACATGCTAGCGCCCATCACCATCACCATCGCCATCACCGTCACCTTCAGAGGAGGTGCCAATCGACACGGTTCAAGACGCCTGCAGAATGTTCGTCGGCCCCCTTGGGGGGCCCTCTTAGGCCCCAACACAGAACCCAAACGGCTCCAACATTGCTCCTTGTGGTCCTGTTGCCCCACCTGCTTCCCGAGCTTGGTCAGCGAGTCCAACGATAAGAGGGGCTGGCGGATGCGGCGCAAGGCTTGCGAATGTTTGGCGCCGCAAGTTTGAACTCGCTGCCTGTTGTCATAGAATCCTAGGTGGAGTGCGCGATGTGCAAAAACGCCTGGTCCTTAATCTCACTTGCTACACGCCGGTGCCAGAATAAGCGCGTTGCGCCGCTGTCGGTGATGGGGCCGCAGGAGCGTTCATATTGCTTCTTCTTGTCTAAGCGCCCCTGCGTGAGCAAATTGCACCGCGCAGCAAAAAAGGCAACCGCGCAGCTCGTGCATGCGGGCGCACTTCTTGCGCGACACCTCGGCCAGGCCCGCGGCTCTATCGAAGATCCGCCGGGCTTTTTTGAAAGTGACAATGCACCAGGAGGCCCTTGGAAAGGCCCTCTTCCTCCTCCTCTTCCCCCTCCCCTTCCTCGTCCTCTTCCTCCGCCTCCTCCGCCATTTGCTGCTGCTGCTCTGTTCCTCCTCCTCCTGCTCCTCCCCCTGATCCTCCTCCTCGTCCTCTTCCTCCTCCTCCTCCGCCTGCTGCTGATGCTGCTCCTCCTCATCCTCCTCTTCCTCCTCCTCCTCTTCCTTCCCCCGCCCCCGTCCTCCTCGCGGCCCCGGGCGACGACGGCGACGAATGAGACGACGGCGGCGACGACGCGACGACGATGACTAAGACGACGACGACGACGACTAAGGCGACGACGACAAACACGACCACGACGACGACTGAGACGACAACGGCGACGACGACGACGACGACTACCTGGGCGACAACGACGACGCCGACGACGCTGACGACGACGGAAACGACGACGACGACGACTAAGAAGTCGCCGGCGACGACAAAGACGACGACGACGATTAGAACGACGACGACGATGACTACGACGACGACGACTAAATGACGTCGTCGACGACGACGGCGACGATTAAGACGACGACGAAGGCTAAGACGAGGACGACGAGGACGACGACCACGACGACGACGACGACGGAAACGACGACGACGACGACTACGACGACGACGACTTAGACGACGACTAGGAGGACGACGACGGCGACGACTAAGACGACGACGACGACGACTTGGATGACGGCGACGCCGACGACGACTGAGACGACGACGACTAAGACGATGACGACGCCTAAGACGACGACGGCGACTAAGACGACATCGACGACGACGACGACGACTAAGCGGACGACGACGACGACTAAGCCGACGACGATTAGGACGACGACGAGTACGAAGACGACGACAACGACGACGACGACGCTGTGCTCCTCCACCTCCTCCTCCCCCTCCCCCCCTCTCCTCCTCCTCTCCTCCTCCTCCTCCTCCTCCGTCTCTCCTCCTCCTCCTCCTCCTCCCTCCTTTCTCCTCCTCCTCCTCCTCCTCCTCCTCCTCCTTCCCCTCCTCCTTCTTTCCTCCTCCTCCTTCTCCTCCTCCTCCTCGCCCTCCTCCTCGCCCTCCTCCACCCCCCCCTCCCCCGCCCCCTCCGCCCCCGGGCTTCGGCGCGCCCGCGCGGGGAAGAGCCGGCGCCGAAGGATCAAGAGCGACGTCGCTATGAACGCCCTGGTGCCAGTCCCTGAGCCTCTCCTCGGGCCCCCCTGGGAAATTCTCCGAGCGGGGCTTGAACGATTTCGTTCGGCGGAGCTGAGTGCTCGACTCAGCAGCTGAGCGGCAGAGTGCAACGTCGCGCGCGAGAGCCGCGCCGAGTCTGGCCAGGGCTCCAACATCACATGCGCAGACGGGCCTGCCTTTTAAATCATGTCGGACGGCGCCCCCCCCCCCCCCTCTTCATCCCTGGGCCCTGCGCGGTGCCCACCTCTCCCTCATCGCGCCCTGCCAGTCGGACTAGGCGCGCGGGGCTGCCCCCGAGCACTTATAAGGCGACGCGGCGGCGCGCGCCCTCGAGCGACAGCCCCGCCGCTGCCGCGGTCGGAAGATCGACGGCTGGGCCCGCGGCCGCATCGGGAAGCGGAATGCCCGGGGCCTGGAGAAGCATGCGGCGGCGCGCAGCAGAGGGCTCGGGATTGGGAGAGCCCCCGTGCCAGCGGTGGGGGTGCCGCTGGAGCAGAGTGCCAGCCCTCTGCTGGTTCTGGTTCTCGAAGGGGCCCCTGAGGGCGGCGGCGCCAGGGAACTTCGATGGGGGGGGAGCACGTGCAGCGTCACGTGGTCGCCGAGGTCGGTAATGACGTTCCAGCGGTCGGCGCTGAGCTGGCGAAGGTTGGGGGCCTGGTTGGCGAAGATGATGAGACGGGGCGCCGCGCAGCTCTTCGCTATCACCCCGTATTTCGTCTGCGCGATGAACCCGTTCTCGAGCTCCTCGACGGCGAAGTAGTTCAGGGTCTGGGACCGGGCCGCGTCCACGAGGACGGCCCTCTGGCCGTTCCACAACGTTGCGTTCAACTTCCCGTCGTCGGGTGTGGCGATCATGAACCTGTGCTTAGCGACCGCGTACCTTGTGTACTTCGACTTGCCCTTGTTGCCGCGCGGCTCGTAGACGCGCGTAATCGTCCTGTCGTCGGGCTCCGCCTGAGCGAGGAAGAGGTCGAATCGAGCCTGCCACTTGAAGCCGGCGGCAGTGAGGTCGAGGGCTGGCGGGTCTACGCGGCGGGCAGCCCGCGCCCTGAATGCCCAAACCATGGAGCGAGCGACCGTGCCGGCAATCTCGGCGTCTGTGACGACTTCATCGAAGCTGGCCGTGGACTGGATGGCGTCTATCAAGTTAGCCCACCTGGCGGCGCCGCCGTGGTTCCCAATTTCCCTGCACTGCTCGGCTCGGACGCGATCGCTGCGGTCGCCCCACTCGCGCCACATCCCCTCCTTCTTGCAGTAGTCCGCCGCCACCGTGGGGGTGCCGTAGCGCGGCTCCAGGCGCGCCCTGGGGAACCACGCTTTGATCTGGCTGAGGCGGACTCTCGTCTGCCCGCATAACTCAATGTAGAACTGCAGGCGAGGCGCGCCTGTCCCAGCCCCGCCCGCCATCGCTGGGCGGATCAGGCACTGGAGGGCGTGCCGCGTGGGGGCGCTGCCCTTGCAATCCCCCATGACGACTACGACTACGAAACCACTGCTACTAGTGCCACTCGTGCGACTAGTTACTGCTACGACTATTATTACTACGACAACAACAACAACAACTACTACTACGACTACTACTACTACTACTACTACTACTACTACTACTACTACTACTACGACTACTACTACTACTACTACTACTACTACTGCGACTGCTGCTACTACTACTACTGCGACGAATCCGATTACTACTCCTACTACAACCTTCACGAACTCATTACTGTTGCTACTGGCACCTTTACTATTCCTACGACTACTACTACCACCACTCGTACTAGTACTAGTACTAGTACTATTACTGGTACTAGTACTAGTACTAGTACTAGTACTAGTACTACTACTACTACTACTACGACTACTACTACTCTCGCTACTACTACTACTACTACTACTACTACAACGATTACTACTGATACTAATGCCGATGCTACTAAGACTACCACGACTACTAATAGTATTGCTACGACTGCTACAACAACAACTACTACTAACACTACTACTACTACTACTGCTGCCACTGCTGCTGTTGCGCGAACAACAACAACAACAACTACTACTACTACTACTACGGTTCGCAATCGTACTAGCACGAAGACCTAATACTATTACTATTACTACAACGACTACTTCTACGACTACTACTTCTTCTACTGTTGCTACTGCCGTTATTCCAACGATTGCTACCGCTACTACTAATGCTGTTCTCCGTATTGATGATGCTGCTACTATCCGTATCGATGTTGCTGCTACTACTACTACTACTACTACTACACGAACTACGACGACTACTACTACTACTACTACTACTACTACTACTACCACTACTACTACCACTACTACTACCACTACTACTACCACTACTACTACTACGACTACGACTACGACTACTACTACTACTACTACTACTACTACTATTACGACTAAGAGTGCGACTACTACTGATACTGCTGCTGCTGCTACTACTACTACTACTACTTCGACTACTACTTTAACAATTATGGTTACCACTGCTACTACTACTACTGCTGCTGCTGCTACTACTCGTCCTGCTATTCATATACTACTACTACGACCACGACTCCCGCTACTTCTACGACGACGACGGCTACTACTGGTACTACAACACAACATATTGCTACTATTGCTGCTACTATTACCTCTACTACTACCCTTTCAACAACAACTACTACTACTACTACTACTACCACTTGAGTAGTAGTAACAATAGACGTAGTAGTAGTAGTAGTCGTCGTCGTCGCCGTAGTAGTAGTAGTAGTAGTAGTAGGAGGAGTAGCAGTAGTAGTAGTAATAGTAGTAGTAGTAGTAGTAGTAGTGGTAGTATTAGTCGAAGTCGTAGTAGTAGTAGTAGTAGTAGTAGTAGTAGTAGTAGTAGGAGGAGGAGGAGGAGGAGGAGTAATAGTAGTAGTGGTAGCAGCAACAGCAGCAACAGCAGCAACAGCAATAGTAGTAGTAGTAGTAGTAGTAGTAGTAGTCGTAATACTAGTCGTAGTAGTAGTAGTAGTAGTCGTAGAAGTAGTAGTAGTAGCAGTAGCAGTAGCAGTAGTAGTAGTAGTAGTAGTAGTAGTAGTGGTCGTAATAATAACAATGATAATAAAATTACTCACTGCGTGGAGCTCCCCATATGTGCATCTTTTTTTAAAAGGTAATATTGTATATGGGTCTACAGGAACACACGTAAAACACCAAGGACTCGTGCCCCAGGAGAGGCCCAATATATAGGAACAAAAGTAAAACAAGTAGGATTGCTTACACAGGAGAAGGACAATATATAGAAACATACGTAGAACATCAAAGAATCGTGCTCCAGGTGAGGCCCAATCGATAGGAGCATACGTAAAACACATGGGATTGGAGCCACTCCTGTTGCCTTCTGAGGCCTCCTGCTCCTGGGGCCTCTCGGGGCCTCCTGTTGCCTTCCGAGGCCTCCTGGCACTTCCCGTTGCCTCCTGGGGCCACCTGTGGTTTCCGGGGGCCTCCTGGAGCTTCCTGGGGCCTCCTGGAGCCTCTTGTGACATCCTGTGGCCTCTTGAATCTTTCTGTGGCCTCCGGATGCCTCCTGGGACCTCATGTGGTCTCCTGGGGCCTCCTGGAGCCTCCTGTGGCATCCTGAGAAGAATCTGCGCCCACGAGCCTGGCCACCAAAACAGGCAAACCGATCGAGACATCCTCAAAATCTGGCCCACCTGGGGGGTGAAAATGAGCGCCTCGCTCGAGACTTCCTCCAAATCTGCTCCGAAAGCGAAGGATGTTGACCCCAGAAACAAGCAAACCGCCTGAGACATCCCCACAAAATGGCCGCGAACGAGCCCGTGCAACCACCCCTGGCGGCTCCCCTTAGGGCCACGAGCCTGGCCACCAAAACAAGCAAACCGATCGAGACATCCTCAAAACTGGCCCACCTGGAGGGTGAAAATGAGCGCCTCGCTCGAGACATCCTCCAAATCTGCTCCGAAAACGAAGGATGTTGAGCCCAGAAACAAGCAAACCGCCTGAGACATCCCCACAAAATGGCCGCGAACGAGCCCGTGCAACCACCCCTGGCGGCTCCCCTTAGGGGTGCTGAAACCAGCGCCCCGCCTGAGACATCCTCACAATCTGCTCTCCAAGCGAAGGATGTTGAGCCCAGAAACAAGCAAACCGCCTGAGACATCCCCACAAAATGGCCGCGAACGAGCCCGTGCAACCACCCCTGGCGGCTCCCCTTAGGGGTGCTGAAACCAGCGCCCCGCTTGAGACATCCTCCAAATCTGATGTGTGTTGAGTAAGTCTGAGTATGAGTAGGTCTGAGTATGAGTATGCCTGAGTATGAGTAAGTCTGTGTATGAGTAAGTCTGTGTATGAGTAAGTCTGGGTATGAGTAGGTCTGTGTATGAGAAAGTTCTGAGTATGAGTAAGTCTGAGTATGAGTAAGTCTGAGTATGAGGAGGGGAGGAGGAAAGAGGAGGAAGGAGGAGGAGTAGGAGGCGTCCAAGTAATAACAAGAACCCCATCTTAGGATATGGGGAACAAGCAAACCGCCTGAGACATCCCCACAACATGGCCGCGAACGAGCCCGTGCAAACACCCCTGGCGGCTCCCCTTAGGGGTGCTGAAACCAGCGCCCCGCCTGAGACATCCTCACAATCTGCTCTCCAAGCGAAGGATGTTGAGCCCAGAAACAAGCAAACCGCCTGAGACATCCCCACAAAATGGCCGCGAACGAGCCCGTGCAAACACCCCTGGCGGCTCCCCTTAGGGGTGCTGAAACCAGCGCCCCGCTTGAGACATCCTCCAAATCTGATGTGTGTTGAGTAAGTCTGAGTATGAGTAGGTCTGAGTATGAGTATGCCTGAGTATGAGTAAGTCTGTGTATGAGTAAGTCTGTGTATGAGTAAGTCTGGGTATGAGTAGGTCTGTGTATGAGAAAGTTCTGAGTATGAGTAAGTCTGAGTATGAGTAAGTCTGAGTATGAGGAGGGGAGGAGGAAAGAGGAGGAAGGAGGAGGAGTAGGAGGCGTCCAAGTAATAACAAGAACCCCGTCTTAGGATATGGGGAAATAATGATAATAATAATAATAGTAGTCGCTGTCGTCGTAGTAGTCGTAGTCGTAGAACTACCACTAGTACTACTATTACCACTACTTCTACTTCTGGGGTCACACCTCCCAATCGTGTCTTATCAGACGGAATGGGCAATGGCAAGGGTAAGGGTTCATGAAGGTTCGGGTTCGGGTTCGGTAGCGTGCATACACGCGAATTCAAATGCAATGCGCGCACAGTACAAGTACAAACCAAACACTATACGAGTACAATGCGCATACAGTACGAATACGACAGCACTGCACTACGAAAACAAAACGAATACAATACGAGTACAGTGCGACTGCAGTACACATGCAATACGAATGCCATACGAATACAATACGAACACACTACGAATACAATACAGATCCAGTACGAATGCAATACGAGCATACTAGTAAAACGATGCAATTATTAGGCGGCACGAGGTGTGAACATACAACTTACTGTTGCTGAACTTCTTAATGCGCTCGCTATGCACGCAATACGACAAAGTAGTGCGCGAGTGTGGGGTGTGAAACCGGACTGCCCCCCGAGGGAATCCTACGAAGTCGTATGGGTTATACAATGTGACAGACTTTTAAGAGTGCCTCGCAGGTAACCCTCGGAATTCCGACGGCTCCTACCACTTCCCAAATGCCTAGGGAGGCCTCCTCAGCGACCCTAGGAATGATTCTTAAGTTTCTTACCAAGTGCTAGATTCCTGGGAAGGGCCTCTTGGGGAACCCTACGTATTCTGAAAGATCCGACCCGCTACTAAATTCCGGGGGTGGCCTCTTGTGGAACCCTCGGAAGTCTGAATGATCCGACCGATTTTAAATTCGAGGGAGGGACCCCTATGGAATCATAAAGGTTCCGAAGGTTCTCACCAAACCCCAGATTCTTGAGAACGCCTATCAAGCAAGAAGAAACAACAACACAACCCATACAACATAACACACTAGGGAATACAGACGAAAAAAATCAATGAGATAACCCAGGCAATAACCGATTGTGATGTTTGTCTTTTGTGGCCCACGGGACGCTCGAATTTTGGGCCCACACTGCCTGTGTTCGCCATAATGAATTCGTACATCATAACGAAGGTGAATCACAACGCCAGC